AGGCGTTTTGTTCTTGGGAGAAAGAAACAGCCCTGGACATCCACCTCATTTGTTATGGTTGCTATTTGAAGAAAAAACAAAGTAACAACAACCAAAAGAAGCCTAGATGGATACACAGATTAGAGGTAATCTATTACTAACCATTTCATCTCCATTGTTGTTTAGGCATTTCTGGGACACTCAGCAGATCGGCCAGTGCAGTGATCACTCGGATTATCACCCCTTCTTTTCCGGCATATTTTTCCTTCTTCTATAAACTGTGGGTGAGAATCAAAAATACTCCCAGCTATCACTCTTCAGCAGCAAAGATCAAAGAGTCAAACCATGGTTCACAACACATTTCAAAACCTCCTCTTCATCTCTCTTGAGCATCACCAAGCAAGGCATCCCTGCCCTGTTACAACTGTGTATGGTGCCTAGAAGTCCCAGTCTGTCTTATTTGCTGTGGGGAAATGATTGCAATGAAAGGCTCAATTCCTGAAAGACAAGTTCTACCTGTTGGCTGACCATAAAGGGAAAATCAATTGGGCTGCCATGAAAAAGCAGCAAAAAGTGAATTGTTGAACTTTCTCATGATATATTTTTATTTCTCTACATGGGAAGAAGCATTCATAGAATTTTCTGTCACGTGCTGAAAAACACGTGGCTCCCTTCTCCTGCTGTGAATCTAGGCTTGTGATGGAAATATGGAAATAACAAAATGTTTTGGGCCACTCTGCTCAAAAAGTTCATTACAGAGTCAACTGGGATCCCACATAAAAAGAAGGAATGAGGAACTAGCACCTTTCTTTCATTGGTCCTGCAGCACCTCCAGAATCCACCAGCAAAACACCTGAATTTAGAGCTTTAGAGAGCAGGTAGAGAACTTAAAGGGGGAAAAGGGCAACTTTACTTCCAGAAGTCTCCTGCACCTATTTCCATCCTAAAAGGCTCAGAGAGAAAAATGTCACAGTATTACCGGAGACCTCTTAGAAGCTTCCAGAAAGTTAGGAAGCTGAGTTAGGGCACCAATCTCAAACATTGCCTATCCTTGTTTAAACTGGGTTTCCATGCAATCTCAGTCAAGGAACAAATATATTATTTTCACAGACATGATTTAATATACTGAAAGAGTGCATTGAGATTGAGACAAGGCTGAAATTTTGTTAAATTTTCTTCCCTATGAATATGTTCATAAGGGTAAAATAAAATGGAAGAAGGGATAGGGATAGGGTTGAAATGTTTTGATCATAGTAATCAGCCAAGAGATATTACATTTCTATATGGCTAGTATGGAGCAGAGTAAAATCTCTCCTGGTGTTAAAAATAAACAAGTCTTACTCTGCACTGGTCACAACACAGTCCTTCTGCACACTGCGCCCCTGGTCTCAGTTTACAGGTTGCAGCATCGCAGCACGGATTCTGACAATTCTGAAAACCAAAAAAAATCAAATGATATCATAGAATTTTCTTTTTTAATTGGTCTATTTTGAAGAGGGAAATTTCTGCAATGTGTTCCCTCTTATGGGTTCATTCTAGCAAATGCATAAATTGTTTGTTATTGCAAATGGATAATGGCATCTGTCTGTGGAAGAGCCTTATCTGATATTTCCTATGTGACAAGAATAAAACAAAAATATCCTCATCTCCTAATTGTGAAGCCCACATAACCTACAGCCCCATTCCTTTCTTATTCATGAGGAATTTTCTACTCATCATGCCAGCCTTTGAGGTAGTCCAGAGAAGAAGCACCAACCATGAGTATTAACACTACCCTGATTGTAAGGTTACAGTAGCAGAATCTTTCAATACTGAAACTACATTTCTACCACCTCATCTTTACGGACCAAGAGAATGGGTGGGAGGTGTTCTTCTTGAGATGTTTGCCAGGCCCCATTGCTTCTGCAGGCTAATCTACGTCTTATATGACCATTGAGTAG